GGGCCGCCGGCTAGAGGGGGGTCACGGGCTGGGCGTGGGGCAGGAGGGCAGCGGGCCGCCGGCTAGAGGGGTGTCACGGGCTGGGCGTGGGGCAGGAGGGCAGAGGGCTGCCGGCTAGATGAAGGTCACAGGGAGGGAGGCAAGGGGAGGAAGCGGAAGAGAAAGAAAGGAAAGACGGAAACTATTAAGATGGGAAACAACCCCAGTGCTCATCATCAGGAGAACGGATAACCCCCTGTGGGCCAGCAGTGACTACTGTGCACAGTGGAAATGAAAAAAAGCCACAGCCACATGGGACAGTGTGGATGACTCCCAGCAATGGTTTTGAGTGAAAGTTCCAAAAGGTCATCTACAGCCCAATACCCCTTTATAAAGCTAAAAAACAATAAAGGCTAAGCACACCATTGATGAGGCACGCATGTATATATAAAACAAACTATACCAAAAAGAGAACAAGGGGCTGCTAAACGATAGAGCTCAAGGCCACGGGGTGTACGCAGGTAGATGCAAGTTTCGGTTCTCAGGGTGGGGGAGAGTTCTAAAAGTTCCTTATATTTTCAGTAAATTTTTAATGAATTATATTAATAATAAATTAAAGAAGGCCATGCAAAACCCACGATGATATCCGGTCACAAACCACAAATAGTGATTAATCCAGTTTAGTGGATCTGATATCACTTAGAAATAACCAACCAACCAACCAACCAAACGGCTGCTTCCTTTGTGTTGAGCATTCTGTCAGCCCATTTTCTCTTCATGCCAATGCTGGTAACAGGGTATGGTCCCATTTTACAGATGAGGAAGCTGAGCCTTAGAGATGTGAAGTAAGTTGGCCAAAGTGACGCAGCTAATACAGAGTGGCCTGGGTCTTTCAACCAGCCCTGTGGCCCCAGGTCAACGCTGCGCTGTCCTGGAGAGAAGGACTGACAGGGTGGCCTCCCAGTGCCCACGCTCCCCTTACCAGCACCGAGCTGGGAAGCTCCTCTTGCTTGCCGTCCTCCTGCTCCAGGCCCCGGGGGGCTACAGATGGAGGCTGCTCAGCCCGGAGCCCTTGGTTTTCCTCAGTCAGCCGCTTCACTTCGTGACTCAGGCACTTGTGGGAGGTGGCCAGCTCTGCCTGGGAATGGGCAGTTAGTACCAGGTGATGAGGGGCACAGGGTGCCTCTATTTCCCTGTGAAGTCAAACCCTGGACCCTCCCAGCCATGACTGACAGGCAGGGCGCCCCTGCCTTCCTTATCTACTGAGAAAGGAGAACATCCTTTCTTAAGTGTCCTCAGCCACCAAGCCCATTTCCACCCTGCCCCATTGATGGGAGGTTACACCCCGGCAGCCCACAGGCAACATCTGGCATTTTACTTGGTCCACATGGTTTTTGTAAACTTTGAAATAAGTTGCATACTTTCAAAAAAATTGGGAGACATCACAAAGATATCCAGATTTCTGGCTTCCCTTCAAACCCCAAACAATCTGGCAGCATGGATCCTGCATTCCCACAGGCGACAGTCAGTGGAGCCCTCCAGACACATGCTGTCTCCCAGCTGGCCTGATTCAACCAGTCACCTCTGCCCTCTGATCTTGCTGAACATGTTTTCACAACCTCTGAACTTAATCCTCATGACTCTGCAAACTAGGTCCCCTTAGCTCAATTTTATAGATAGCAGCGCTGAGGCTCCAAGTCTACAGAATTAGCTCAAGATCACACAGCGAAGCAAGCCCCTGCACAGCCCAGCACTGAGCTGCCCCTGAAACCCTTTCACCCATTGGGCACCAACTATAGGGTGCAGCCAGAGTGGCTGAGGGGCAAGGCAGGTGCCTCAACTTTCCATGTTCCCCCCACCCCTCTAATTCCTGTCATACTCCTCTCTCTCAGCCCGGCCCTCACCATCTGCAGCTGAACCCGCTCCTGGGCCTGGCTCACGGTCCCCTGCAGGGTCCGCAGCAGCTGCTCCGAGTTCTGGACCTGGGCTAGGAGTACCTGCATCTGTGGGTGGAAGGAGGGTGAGGGTGAGGCCATGGGCAGCCCCCTCGGAGAAAGTGGGTAGGAGGGGACCTGCAGGGGCCAGAGCTGAGCTGAGACCCACCTGCTTGGCACAGTCCTCATTACTCTGTCTCAGGCCCTCTTGCAGCTCGTCCCGCTCGCGGCTGAGGCTCTCGAGGTCCTTCTGCAGCTGCCGCCCCTGCCACAGAGCCCTGACTTCAGCCTCTATCTTCCCAGAGTTGGCCCGCCCCCTCCCTGCCTCTTATCCCGTGCCTTCTGCATCTCGGTCTGCAGTGCCATCATCCACACAGCCCTTCAGGCCCAATACCCAGGAACCAACGCGACCTCACCGATTCTTCCCCTTCCTTCACTCCCCACGTCCCACCCATCAACAGGCCCTGACACTCTACCCTCCAAGTGTATCCCAATCCATCTACTTCCTTCCATCTCTGCTGTCACCTCTGGTCCCAGCCACTTCCTCCTAACCTCCACCGCATCTCAGATCTGGTCTCCTAGCACCTCTTGTTTCCCCTGGCCCCTACAGTGTCTTCCTACACAGTAGCCCAAGTCATGTTTTAAAAGCCTAAAGCAGAGCAGGCCTCTTCCTGGCTTACACCCTCTGGAAGCTTCCCATTGCTCTTCATCTAATATCCAAGCTCCGTGGCAGCCCAATGAGGCCTGACCTCACAGGGACCCTTCCTTCCTGATCTCATCTCTCCTCTCTCCACTGCACACCATCCTCCCACCTGGTGGCCTTCCTATTCCTCAGACACACCACGGTCTATTCTTCCTCAGGGCCTTTGACCTCTGAAGGCCCTGAACTTCAAAGAGTGCCTCCTTTTCATCATTCAGGTCTTAGCTGGGGGCAGCTAGTCTCCTGCACTGCTCATCTCTACCCTGTGACCCAATTCCGTTTTCTTCTGAGCATCTCACTCCATCACATTATCCTCCTTAGGTATCCGTGTGCGTGTTTATGTCTGACTCCCTTCCCTAGGAGGAAACTGTAAGAGGGTAGGAGTTTGCCTTCTTCACTGGGGCCTCCTCAGCTCTAGCTTGGGGCCTGGTCCCAGCAGGCACTCAGTAAGTGCTTGGAGAAGGGAGACATGGGAGCATGCATGCACACAGGCCATGCCCACTCCACTCACCTCTGTCTGCAGCTGCTCCCACTGGTTGTCTGGGACAAGCTGATAACCAGGAGGGGGCAGGTAGATGCCCTCAGGGACCAGGGTGCCCGTGGACACCAGGGAGGCTGTCTCTTCCTGCTCAGGGCTGAGGCCCTGGCGGCTATGGGGCATGGAGGTGCTGCTGCTGGCCCCACCGCCAAGGGAGAAGGAGGATATGGAGGCGCTGTCGTCACAGTTGTGGGCAAAGGCCTCAGCCGCTGCACCCCCGTCTCCACTCAGCTCCTCCAGAGGCTCCAGTGGGGGAGACGGGTCCCGGGACAGGGGCAGCAACTCCGTGGAGCCGTGCAGGGAATGGGGGTGCTGGGGCCGTCTCTAGGGAGAGGGGGGCGGGGAAGAGGCTGGGGTCCGGGGTCCTGTGGCCCCCCTTCTTCCCTCCTCGCCCCCAGCTGCCCCTCACCTGGATCTCTTGAATCAGCTTCTCCGCCCTCAGCAGCTTCTCCTTCAGCTCCTCAATCTCCTGCTCCATGGGCAGCACGATCTCCCGCAGTTTCTCGGAGTCCTCATGGGCCTGGGGGTAGGGAGTTGGCAGTGACAGTCCCCTCTCCTGACTGCTGGACCCTCAGGTTTGCTCAGTGCTTTCTCTCCAAGCCCATCAGCTCTTCCAGTCCCCTCAAGAAAGCACTGTTTCCCTCCCCATCCCATTTTAGAGATAAGAAAACAGAGGCTCTCAGAGCTTACAGGACTTGGCCTCAGTCACATGGCAGGTAAAAGGGCAAAAGTCAGGACTATCTTCCTGCTGCTCACTGGCTCACACTTTTCTTCCCCAACATCCATTCTCCCTTTTTTCTTTTGTCATAGAATCACACACATTGAGTTTCTCACAAGGTCTAAATTCTAGAATACCATCTACATTTCTCAGCTTCCCCTGCAACAAAACACGGCCATACGATGAAGTTCCAGCTAATGAGATATAAGCAGATGTGCCACGTGCAAATTCCAGGACAATTCCTTACAGAGAGAGGGTGTGCCTTTCTTTACTCCTCCTCTCCCCGCTTCTTCTTGCTAGCTGGAGTGGGGACATGATGGCTGGCACTCAAGCAGCCATCTTGGACTATGAGGCCTATGGCAAAACAGCAGTATAGGAGCCTGAGTTCCCAGTGACTTGCAGAGCTGTCACATCAGCCCTGGAATGCCTACCTTTGGACTTTTAAGAAAAGTAAACGTCTATCTTAATTAAGCCACTGTTAATCTGGACTTTCATTCACATGGCTAAACCTCATCCTAATTGCTATATTCCCTCATACTCCCATCACCACCACACTGCTGACCATTTCTTTTCGGTCTCTTTTCAGGCTGGGAATCCTGGTGAATGTGCACAGCCAACAGCCTCTGGACATGTCCACTTGGATGTCCCACAGGCTTCTCTAACCAAGTACAGCCAAAACTGAACCAACTCACTGATGCTGTTCCTCCTACCACAAACACTAGGTCAGCAAGAACGGCCCTGCCATCTGTCCAGTTGTTCAAGGCAGAAGTCTGCCAGTCATTCCTGTCTCCTCCCTCTCTGCCACCACCCCCTTCCAACTCACGCTGCTTCTACCTCTTGAATGGCTCTCAAATCTGTCTCAAACAAGCTCAGTTTAACTCTCCAAATCTCTTATGTGAACAGTGGCAAGAGGCAGGGTAAGCCTGTGTGGCCCAAACAAAACACCTGTCATTCTGTCTGAAGACCTGGGTTACATGCTCTGCAGATGCTCCGTGGAGGGATGGATGGCTGAACTCACGGGCTGTGCCAGGACTGGAATCGATCTTCTGCTATACTAGGTGGCTTTAATTTAGCAGAGTCCACCCTTCACCACCCTGCAAAACTGCTCCCCAGAGAACACCCTGAAAGCAAGCAGCAGCCGCTGCCGGGAAGCTGTGGGCTAGAAGCCTTCCTTTCTTGGGCTCCTGTTTTGGTCTTTGTCTTTCTAACCAGGTAATTTACTCCATCTCACTGAACCTGTTTCCTCCTGCATAAAATGAGGTATTAATAAATATCTATCTCACAGGGCTGCTGTGGATCAAATGAGGTAACGATGGGAACTCGCTTGGAAAGATGATGACTTTGGTAATATGTGCTTGCTATTATTATTAACATTAGCAATAACAATAATAATAATAAAGCCAAATCCATCGTCATCGAGTCAATTTTGACTCACAGCCACCCTACAGGACAGAGTAGAACCTCTCCGATAGGGTTTCCAAGGCTGTAATCTTTATGGGAGCAAACTGCCACATCTTTCTCCTGCAGAGCAGCTGGTAGGTTCAAACCACTGATCTTTTAGTTCACAGCTGAGTGCTTTAACCACTGTGCTACCAGGGCTCCCAATAATAATAATAAGGGAAGTGATATACCACAAAGATTGAGAATAAAAACTTTAGAACCAGACTGCCCAGATTTAAGACTCAACTCTGCTTCTTTCTAGCTGTGCAACCCTGGGAGAATTACTGACTCTCTCTGAACCTCACCTTACTCATCTGTTAAATGGATCTAATGCGCCTACCTCACAGGGTGAAAGATTGGGAAGATTCCTTCTGTCAAGCACTTAGCACAGTGCCTATGGCATGAGAGGTATTCTTAAGTGTTCATTTTCTTTTCCCTTAATTTTGGAGGCAAACTGACTTGCCCTAGGTCACCCCACTAGTTGGCGGCAAGCCAGAACCTTGCCTCATGTGGAGCTAAGCACTCCGCAGTATTGGTAACTCTGTGCTATACCCAGAGTTATTACTGGGTGCTCCGCTCCCAAGTGATCTGGAAATGGAACACCAACAATCCCTCTGCCCCACTGACTTTGGCTGCCTCGACCTCTTTCCAAATCCAGGGGAGGAGGGGAGCCATCTCAGCCCCAACCTTTTCCATCTGCTTCTCCAAGGAGTCCAGAGGGTGAGCGCGGGACAGCAGCTGTTTCAGCCGGCCCAGCTCCCGCTCCTTCTCCTCGCAGTCCTGCTGCTGCTGCTGCCATTCCTGTTTCAGAGAAGCAATTTGGGCTTCATAGCTGCTGATGGAGTCTGGTGGGGCAGGAAGGGCAGGGAGAGGGAGAATCAGTGCACATGCCCCACCTGTGCTGAGTGGGGGCTCTCAACGCACTGATTCTCTGCCAGCAGTTGACCATAGTGGTTAAGACAGTAGCTTTGCAGAGACGGACCTGGGCTTGAACCCTGACTCTGCTACTCAACTGCCATGGCAGCTGGGCAATCACTTAGCCTCTCTGCCCATCAGTGTCCTCAAGCTGCAAAATGGCGATACTGATGCTAACTTCACGGGTTGTTAAAGGATTAAAGGAGATGACATATATAAGGTGTTCAGCCCTCTTCCTGGTACACAATAAATACTTCACATATGGCATCTACTCCTATTAACAAGTACCAATAACAATCAATGTTTAATCGTAGTAATAAATATTCTGGACCAGACTCTGAGCTGGGCTCTGGAAATACAGGGAGGTGGAGATGGTATTGGGTGGAATATGGACATTTTTTATTTTTGGTAAAACCTGGTTATTTCTTACTTGCATAGTTATTTATGTTAAAGTGTACTAACGTTGAGAGTAAAGGTTTTGCCGGCAGACTGCCTGGGTTCAATTCTTCTGCCACTTTCTGGCTGTGTGGACCATAAACCAAAACAACCAAACCCATCGCCGTCGAGTCAATTCCGACTCATAGTGACCCTATAGAACAAAGTAGAATTTTCCCATAGGGTTTCCAAGGAGCAGCTGGTGGATTCAAACGGCCCGACCTTTTAGTTACCGGCCGTAGCTCTTAATCACTGTGCCACCAGGGCTCTGGACCACAAGCAAATTATTTACTTCTCTGGGTCTCAGAGACTCCTCTGAAAGATGGAGATGGATAATAGTTCCTACCTCAAAGTTTGTTATGAAGATTAAATACCTGTAAAGCATTTAGCACAGTGCTTGGCATACAGTAAGTTTCGATAAATCCTACCTATTGTTACTATTTTCTTATATAGTAGAGTTAGAAAGTTTCTTTTAAAATAAATTCACTTAAGTTTTAAGAAAGTGGATCTATTTAAAGAACAGTATTAAGTAAATAACAGGCTAGGGCATACGAGCATAAGACCACACTGCATAGGTGTTAAGTGGATGCCTGAAATGCGGGAGATATGGCCCTAGAGAAGTCTGGAGCCAGGAAAGGTATTTAGAAAGGGAAATGCCGTGGTGTGATGGGTATTTTAGGAAGTTACTCTGGAAGCCAATGTCAAGGCCAGATTAAAGAGGGAGACCTGTGAGACGGCAGGGGTGACAGTCCAGGAGAGAGTTGACAAGGGTCCCACTACAGCAGTTGGTGGCAAAAGGCTGGGGACAGATTCAAAACCTATTTCAGAGCCTCAGGCCTCTGACAGAAGGAGGAAACAGGAAAAGTGGCTGCGGGTCTGGGGCAAAGGGGAGCTGGGCATCCCAAGTACCAATATCGAGGATGAGAGGTGGAAGAAGCAGCAGAGGGACGGTGGGGTGCGCATGCAGGGGCAGCTGGGGAAACCCAAGGCTTAGACTCAAATCTCACAGAGACTGGGACCAGGGCTGGGTCTGTGTAGTCCAGAGAGCCAGACTAAAGGGAAGGGAACTGAGAAGTGCCCTGCTCATCTTCAGGGTTGATCAGTCATCAATGAGGGACAAGCATAGACATGGGACAAGGGAACAGGTCCAGGCTTGAAGCTAAACTTAGCTTAACTGGCAGTGCTGCTGCGAGCATGTGCAGGGCCCCTATGCAAAACAAAGGGCGCCCATTCCCCTGCTAACCTACCCAGAGCTTCTCTGTGCCCCAACATAGCTTGGCTGAACCCTTTCTTGTCACACACTCCCCCATACGGGGCTGATGGTTAGAGTGCAGGGGAAGCTCCTTCTCACCTTTTAGGATAGCCTGCAATGAGGCCACCTCCTCCTGGCATTGCCGCTGCACTGCAGCCACAGCCTCGGCCTTCGTACTCTCGCTCACCTCCGCCACAGCCTTCATGGTCTCCATTTCTGCCAGGGCACCTGCCAGCTCGGCTCGAAGCCGGCGGAGCTCCCCAGACTCGGCCTCAATCTTTGCCCCCTCCTGGGGCTGGTGGGCCAGCGCTGTGGGGGGCAGGGATCAGCCTCCCTTCCCATCACTTCCTGGATCCCCAACACCCCTGCAAATCTGCATCCTGCAAACTAGGACTGCGGCCAGAGCGCCCCTACATTCACCTGGAGCCACCCCACTCACCTGCCCTCGCCCCTTCCCCACCTCCTACTAACTAGCTCCGCCTATGTTGCCTGGAGCCCCGCCTCTTCCCGGTTTCTCGGTTCGCCCAATACCCACTTTTCTGCTGACTCGGCTCCTCCCATGCAATGGCCCCGCCCCGTCTGCACACCTGGTCCCTCCCCTTTCTTCACTGGGCCCCACCTCTCACCTGTCAAGGCTCTACCGTTCGAATCGTCAGACCACGCCCCCTTCGCCGGTGGCTCCAGGCCCCGCCTCCCGCCTTTCACGGCGGCGTGACCCCGCCCCCTCTCCAGGCTCACCCTCATCACCCCCCATACGCCGGCTGCTGAGCTCGGCCCCACCTCCGGCTTCACCGCCCTTCGCGTGCATGGACGCGCCCTCACGTACCGACCCCCGGCCGCCGCCGGCTGTCCTCGCCCGCCGCCGCCGACGCAGCTGCCGCCATTGCCTCAGTGGAAACGGTGGATTCCCGCACTCCCTAGTGACCGCGCTCACCGTTTCCGGGTCCTTTCGGTTGTTTCCGGATCCGCTCGGCTGTTTCCGCATCGGACCCGGGCTCAGTCAGAAGGCGGAGATGAGGGAAGGAGTGCAGAGCCTGGGCCGAAGATTCCCGAGTCGACACCAGGCCCCGCCTCGGCCCCGCCCACTCCCGCCTCCTTTACTAGCCGCGCTCTTGGGTGGCAGACGCCCGCCCTTCAAACCCCAAAGGAGTGCTTTCTTCAAAGGCTCTCGCTAGCGTCTCCGCGTGACGTTGGAAGCTCTGCCCAAATTACATCTCCTCCGGGACGCCTGCCGGTCTCTGCCAATGGAGGGCGAAGCTCGCTCTGTCTTCGGAGCCTGGGAGTCAGCCTTTGATCGGCCCTTGCCAGCCCTTCCGCCGGAGCCAGGCTCACGTTACAGCGAGTTGTGGCCGGCCCTCTCTGCACCTCCGCCCTTGTGGAGCGTCACTCGGGGCAGAGCTGAGGCGGCTTCATTTTCTAGGTGCTTCTGAGGCCCCGCGTTGTTGTGAACCAGTTTTAGAAGTCGGAAACTTCCACGTCCCCGCCCCCATTCTGAAATCCAGCCAGTCACCGCTTCCTTCTAACCCTCTCTCCCCGTCTCAAATCCCCTCTCAAATCCCTTCTCTCCTCCCCTGGCTACTGCTCTAGGTCAAGACCTCATTATCTGCGACCTCCTCATCCAAGAGCCTACCTGACGTCTCCCCTGGTGACAGGCAACTCAAACTCATATTCAGAAGTCTGGATTCCCTTTTCCCGAACCTGTTTCTCCGTCGGTAAAGGACACCCCAGGACCCTGGAAGCCCTTCTTGATTCTCCTTTCCTTCTGCAAGTCCTGGATGCTCTACCTCTAATGCACTGATTATTCCAGAAGGTGTCTGTCCCATTTTCTCCATCTCCAGTGCTAACATCCAGTCCCATCGTCTCTCCTGAAATTCCACAATGCCTCCTAACTGTTCACGTTGTGTTGACTCTTGGCCGCTTTAGTTTTATTCTCCTCAAGGCAGCTGGAGTGATGTTTGAAGAACAGATCATGTCTCATCCCTGCTTAAAACCTTCCAGGTCAATCTAATATGAAAATGGGCAAAGGACATGAACAGACATTTCACTGATGTCACAGATGGCAAACACATGAAAAGATGTTCAACATCATTAGCCATTAGGGTAAATAAAACCACAGTACGACATCACTACACACCTATCAGAATGGCTAAAATAAAAAAGTGATAACACCAAGTGCCGGTGAGGATGCAGAAAAACTGGATTTCTGGTATGTTACTGATGGGAATGTAAAATGGTACAGCCACTCCGTATGGCATGCGCTTACTTAAACGCACCAAGCTTTTCCCCACGTCAGGTCTCAGTTCAGATGTCACTTCCTCAGTGAGGCCTTCCCTAGCTACCCTGTCTAAAGTAGCCACCTCCATCACCTTTCCAATACTAGGTCACAGGGCACTTCTTACCATGTAAAATTATTTATTGTTAACTTGTTTATTACCTGTCCCCCTCTATACTCCCTCCACCCCAAACTGGAATCAAAGCTGTCTGAGAAAAATGCAGAACAGAATTTCAAATTCTTATGGACTCTAGACTTCCTGGAGCCGTGAAGGTTGGACGAACCACTGAAACTATTGCCCTGAGATAATCTTTAAACCTTAATCCAAAAATATCCCCTGAACTCTTCTTAAAACCGAACAGTAGTTTAGCTTAACTAGTAAAAAATGTCTGCCTTGAGCATTAAGTTCTTTTAAGAACCATCTATATGGGATCAGATTGACAATGGCACCTTGAAATATTAGATGGGAGCCTTAGGGGGCAGTGAATTTATGTTAATGGGAGAGGAACAACTCAGAAAAGGAGGGTGAAAATGGTTGCACAACTCAAAGAATGTAATCAATGTCACTAAACGGCATACGTAGAAACTGTTGAATTGGTTATAAACATATACCAATTTCTGTGTACATTCTCAACAGCAACAAACCCCCCTGAAATTAGGAATTTCGTCTTTCTTGTCCTTGCTGTTTCCATAGCACCTAGCACAGTGCCTGATACATAACCAACCAGTTGCCATCTACTTGATTCCAAATCACAGTGACCTCATGTTTGTCAGAGTAGAACTGTGCTCCATAGGGATTTCAGTGGTTGATTTTTCAGAAGTAGATTGCCAGGCCTTTCTTCCGAGGAGCCTCTGGGTGGACTCAAACCACCAGCCAGTGACTTCAAGGCTCTAAATAAACATTTGATGAATTAATGAATGGACACTTTCCCTACTGGTCTCCTGGCCTCCCTCCAATCCACCATCCTCATTGCAGCCAGGGGAAGCTTTGGAAAATGCAAATCTGACCAGGTCATGTCCTGGCTATGAATCCCCAATAGCTTCCTGTGACCCTCAGAATACAGTCCAGATTCCCTGTGTGTGTGGCAGAGTTTCTCGGGGAAGGGATGAAATGATGACTAGAAATAAAGTTCCAGTCAGTTTGGGAGAACAAGCTATCAGACTTGGATTGTATCCTTCAGGCCTTGGGAGCTGTTGAAGGCTGTTGAGCAGGGGAAGCACGTGACTAATATCAAGGAAGCTCTCTCCATGTGAAGGGTAGGTGGGAAGTGAAAGAGATGGGGGACAAGGAGCCCAGGATACAGGCTGTGGAAATAGCTCTGGTTGTGAAGGCAAGAGTCCAAAGAGAGGAGAGAATTGAATTCAAGAAATATTGAAATTGAAAAAATGAAATATAGAGACATGGACTAGCCTTGATGAGTGAGATTGCATGTGAGGGAAGAGAAAAGAAAGCTTTCTTTCATTCTTCCTAGCTTCCTTCCTTCCTTTATTCAATAAATATTTATTGAGCACGTACTAGATGCCAGTGAACAAGACAGTCAAAATCCCTGTTCTCGAAGGGTGAGCATTCAGGAGGCAGACGAGAAGACTAACAAATAAACAGGCATAACTTGAGACTGGGACAAGTACTAGGAAGGAAATAAAAGAGGGCATGAGAGCAAAAGTAACTGGGGGTCAGGGAAGGCCTCTCATGAGGGTGTGACATTTGAGCTGAGACCTGAGTGACAGGAGGAGTTAGCCAAACCAAGAGCCAGTGGAGAGATCGAGGAAGAACAGCAAGTGCAAAGACCACAAGGATAGAAGGCACTTGAGTTGGAGGATGGTGAGCCAGAAGGAGTGGTGAGGGCTGAGGTGGAAAATGTATGTAGGGGCAGCATCATTCAGACCTTCGTAGGCCATGGTTTGGAGGAAAGCCACAGAAATGTTTTAAGCAGGGAACCGACATGCTCTAGCAAGAAGGCTCTGACTGGGCACCTGTGGCAGGCAGCCAAGAAGCCAGTGAAGGGGATTACAGAGATTTTGTTGAAGGAAAGGCAGATGAGGGTCCTGCCACTGTACTCTCTCCATCCCCCAATGCCCCATTCTTCTCCTCTCAGCTGCCTCAACCCAGACAAAGGGAAGTGGGGGCCCTGCCACCTAAAGGGTCCCTTGGGGCTTGCCTGGGGCAAACAGGAAGCCACAGTCCAGTAAGACAGGCCTGGGAATCAGCAACTGAGAAAGCGTGTCTCCTGCGTTCCCGGACCCTTCCCCTGAGTGCCTGCAGCAGTGAAAGACACAGACACAGATACACACACACACACACACACACACACACACACACACACACACACATACACACATACACACACACACAGAGATTAAGAGAGAGACGAGAGACAGAGAAAAGAAAGGAGAACAAGATTTAGGAGTCAAGACTCCCGGGTTCTAGTGCTCACTGCACCACCAGCCCAGTGTGTGATCATGGGCAACACCCTGTGCTTCTCTGGGCTTCAATTTCCCCATTTCTAAATGACTTCCTTCCATAAATGAAGCAAGGGCTTCCTAAGGAGGAAATGGGAGAGAAGGGAATACTAATCGCCAGTCATTTCTAAGGACCGCTGCAGAAGAGCTACAAAGACTCCTGCCTGCTCCACACAGCTGCCAAGCCCCCTCCCAGCTTTATGTATGTTGACTGATTTCTCCACAGAACAATCTATGGGGTAGATTATCTCTTATTATCACCACCAATTTATGGATAAGGAAACTTGCCCATGGTTTTGAACCCAAGCCGTGTGGCTCAAGCCTGTGCTCTTAGCCATGCTACCTCTCTTTAACTGAGGGCCTACTAGGTACTGGGCACTAGGCTAAAAAAAGACTGTACATATTGTCCTGTTTAATCTTCATGGACAACCTTTTGATAGTACTATAATTATCCTCAGTTTACCGGGAAGGAAACTAAGGCTTAGAGTGATGAAGGAATTTTAAATTTAGCCAAGTGGTGGGAGTGGAGGATTCAAACTCAGGTCACCCAGACCCCAAAGTATGTGTGACAGAGCAGCTGTATGGAGGTGGAAGGAGGCTGAGAAATGTTCGTTCACTGATGAATGGGGTGTGTGTGAAGGGAAATAGATTTGAGCCTGGGGTTGAGAGGAGGGGGAAGAAGAAGGGAGACCCTAAGGCTAAATTCACTCATTCAACAATTACTTATTGGGCACCTACTTTGTGCTAAGCACTGTTAGGGCACTGGGCATGCAGCGGTGAGTAAGACAAAGTCTCTGCTGCAAGGGGCTTATGTTCTCATGGGAGAAACAGGAAGTGCACGAGTAGACACAAATAAGTTCATTTCACATGGTGGGAAGAGCCCAATGGAAATGAAACAGTGTTGCAGGGTCAGGAGGTGAGGTTTGTGGGTCTAGGGGGAGTGCTTGGGAAAGGGGGTCTGAGGCGTGACCACCCCTTCCTCCCTGGGGGACTGCCCGCCCGCCCTTACACACACCCACGGTTCAGTGCCCCCCAGGCCCCAGCCTGCCCCAGCATCCCCTGCGCCACCGGGAAGCTGGGTGCCCCGGGGAGTCTGGCCACCATGCCGCCCCCTCTCCTCCTCTTTGTCCTCCTCTTCCTTATTCCAGTAGGAGTCAGGCCACGGCAACAAGTGCTGGTTGAAGGTACGTCATACAGAGAGAAGGAGTGGGGACCGGAACCCCGGGTGCCCTTGGCCAAGTTACTTACTCTCTCTGGGCCTCCATTTTCTAACTTATAAAAATCAGGGGTGGGGTTGGAAGGACTCTGAGGGCTCATCGCACTCCCAGCTTGTGAGGTCCTTGGGTTTAGGACCCAGTGTGGAGAGAGAAGTGGGGCATGGGGCTTCTCTCTCTCTTTCTCTCCACAGAGGGAGACGATGCCACGCTGCCGTGTTTAAAGAACACCTCAGATGAGTCCCCTGTGCTCCTGGCCTGGTATCGGGGGTCCCAGCCAGTGCCACTCTTAGAGCTAAGCCTGGGGTTACCAGGCCTGGGCATCCAGGTGGGGCCCCGGGGCATCCTGCTGCTCATCTTCAACATCTCGGACCAGATGGGGGGCTTCTACCTATGCCAGCCAGGGCCCCCCTCCGAGCAGGACTGGCAGCCTGGCTGGACAGTCAGCGTGGAGGGCAGCGGTAAGGGCCAGGCTGGGCTGGGTGAGGGGGGCTGGGAGAGAAAAGGGAGGCCTGCTGTGAGTGCAGGAAGTCCACAGGCCAAAACTGAGTTGGAGGGAGGGCTGGGGACGGACAAGCAGGGAGCCAGTTCTAGATGGGTGGGACTCAGGTGACTTCAACCCTGAACTGCTCCACATCTGTCTGTCTCTCACTCTCTTCTCTTCCTCTTCTCGGTCTCCATTTCTCTGTCTCTCTCTTCACTCTCTCTGGGTTTTTGTCTCTGTTTGTCTCGCCTTTCTGCATCTCTGGATCTCTCTGTCTCTCCTGGATGTTGACAGCTTCTGGGTCTCTTCCCAGGGGAGATGTTCAGGTGGAATGCTTCAGACCTAGATGGCCTAGGCTGTGACCTGTGGAACATGTCCTCAAAGGGCCCCAGGCCCTCTTCTGGTTCCCCCACTAGCTCCCAGGCATACGTGTGGGCCAAACGTCACCTTAAGACCTGGGAGGCAGACCCTGTGTGTGTCCCACCTCGGGGCAGTCCAAACCAGAGCCTCAACCAAGGTAAGGTGACAGGAGCTGGGGAGATGCCAGGAAGTGGGGGTCCAGGGGCTGGGGGGGGCAGGGATTTGGAACTGGAGGGCTTGCAGAGGATGGGATTTCAAGGACTAGGCCTTCCTAGCTTTGGTTCTCCCTGCCTCAGACCTCACCGTGGCTCCTGGCTCTGAACTCTGGCTACACTGTGGGGTGTACCCAGCCACCGAGGCCAAAGGCCCCATCTCCTGGACCCATGTACACCCCAAGAAGCCTAACATTTCATTGCTGAGCCTTGACATGAAGGAGGATTCCCTAACCAGAGAGATGTGGGTGCGGAGGAGCCTCTTGGGAGGGAATGTTCTGTGGCTACCCCAGGTCACAGTTAAAGATGCCGACACCTATCGATGTCACCATGGCAACTTGACCATCGAGTTGGAGCTGAAAGTCACTGCCAGGCCAGGTAGAGAGTTTTGTTCAATTGTGGTGTATCTGTGTGGGGCTACAGGGAAGAAATGGGAGTTAGTCAACCTTGGACCCCCACCCTGAGGGCTAGTACCAGTCTCAACCTGAACCCCAACCTCTACACTGAACATTGACTCCAACTCTTTCCTCCTCCCTTGCTTCCGAGACACTACTTTTCTGGACCTTCTCCTTCCCATCAACTTTGCTAGGGTTTTCCTTCCTTCCCTACTCCTCATTCCTGTCTGCACATTCTCATCCCTGTCGACACTCTCTCATCCTGCCTATACACAGTTCTTGTTTGACCTCCTTTACTCCCATGGCTCCTTGGACCATCCATGCCTTGGTGACAAGATTCCAGGGTCCATACACCCATACCCAGTTGTTTCCTGGAATTGCCATTTGATGTTCCATGGACATCTCAAGCTCAACATAAACAAAATCAAACTCAAATCTTCCTTCCCGGGTATAGTCTTCTTGGTGGCCTGCTGTAAGTGAAGGGCACCATCACTTGTCCACTAGCCCAAGTCAGGAACCTGGGCATCGTTCCTTTTCCTCACCCCATCCATCAAACCGGTCACAATGTTTTGCTTATTGCATTTCCTTAATACAATCATACCACGCTACCCAAGCCACAGTTTTCAAACTCAGCCTCAACTTTCACTCCCAATGTGACCTGAGCAATATGCTGAATCCCAGCTCAAACCTTGTGAATTCAACTCTGCCCTTGACTTTGACCTTAACTGCAGCATGAAGCTAATCATCATGCTTCCCTTAAGCCTAACATTGCCTCTGACTATAGTCAAGGTTTGTTCATGGTTTGCTCAATAGATACTGCCAGGCTCTGGTCAGTCCCTGTCCTTCTGGGACATGGCTTCTCACAGGGACATCCCCTCAGAGCTCCTTGTAGCTTGGGACATCAAGGATCATTGTCTTGCCCCTGATCGCCAGACTTAAGGCCCTTTGAGATCTTGAGGCTGGGAAGTAAGATGCCAGCCCAGGGTCCTCATCTCATATTCCCCTTGCTCTAGCAGTATGGCGCTGGTTGATGAAGACTGGTGGCTGGAACGTCCCAGCTGTGACTATGATTTATATGCTCTTCTGCTTGGTTTCTCTGGTGGGCTTTCTTTATCTTCAGAGTGGTGAGTCATGTCCCCTAGCCAGTCTGCCCAAACCCTACCCCTGTCTGCCGCAGGATAAGCCCACACTGGCCAATCTGACAACTATCTTTCTCTCCTCCCATCCCTTCCGGCAAGAATCCCAGAATTCTGTCCCCTGACTCCTCCTCTAACCTCCCCAAACTTCCCAGCCCTTAGAATTTGAGCTCCCATCTCCTCCATTGACTCAAGTGATCTCCCCAGAACTCCCACCCCCATCTTGACCCTACCAAGAAGCCCCCAGAGGCATGGTGAGGGGGATTAGAGGGGGGGCATTTGCCCACAGGTGCAAGTCCAAGGGAGTGCCAGATGAGGACAGCCAGCGAACACCCCCCCACCCCCAACCATCGACAAGGCTGGTGGGTTGTGGGGAGGGCGCAAATTTAGAGATTACCCTCGCTACGCCTCTGGCAGCCCCTTGTCTGATAACTCCCCTCAACTCCCACCAGTCCTGATCCTGAGGAGGAAAAGAAAGCGAATGACTGACCCCACCAGGAGGTAATGCAGGAGTTCCCTCCTCCCTTTGACTTTATGCTTTGCCCTGGGTGTCATTCCTTCACCTCTGCCCGTTGAAATACTGCCCGACCTTCAAAGCCCATCTCTAAAGCTACCTGCTCTGTGAAGCCCCTTGAAGTGCTGGCAGCCTTTTCTGTAGGCTGTCCCAGCGCAACCAAAAAACTAAACCAAACCCACTGCCGTCGAGTCGACTCACGGTGACCCTACAGGACAGAACAGAACTGCCCCATACTGCCAAACTTGGGTTAGCAGCCGAGCTCTTAACCACTGAGCCACCGTCCCAGCACAGAGGAACTAATTACAAGCGGGCACGTTTTAACTTCTGAGGGCCTGGCCTAAATCTCGAATGTATCTCCTAGTCCCCTCCAGGCTTGGCCTCAGAGTGCAACTCCCCTTCCCCTGCCAGGTTCTTCAAAGTGACAGGAAACGGGGCCCAGAACCAGTACGGGAACGTGCTGTCCCTGCCCACGACCACCTCCGGCACCGGTAGGAGGCACTGCCTGGCTTCTGATCCAGCCAGGCCCTTCCAGCCTGTAGCTCCACCTTAGAGCTAGAGCCAGACCTTGTCCCTCACCCCTCGAATCCCCTGAGCTCCAAGCCTTCTCCCAGAGCTCGGAGCTCCGCCTTCAGAAGAGAGCCCGCCCAGGTTTGAGCCCCCGCCCCTAGAGCCAAGGCCTGCCTCCAGGACTCATAAGCCTGCCCCAGGTTTCAAAGCCTTAAGTCCAGTACCCGGAACCGAACCTCACCCTAGAACCTGAGGCCACGCCCCAAATTGAGATCCCGCTCCCGTGGCTCAAAGGCTTGTACCTGGCCTCAGAGTCCGTCCCCAGAGGCTAAAGCATCCTCTCCCCCTCCTCTGGAGCGCAGACCCTGGACCCTGACGGTCCGCATCTCGTCTGACCCTCCTCTTCCCTTTACAACGTCCCTCTCGCCAGGACGCGCCCTGCGGTGGGCTGCTGGCCTCGGGGGCGCCGCCTCGCCCTATGGAAGCCCGCAGAACGACTACCGGGAGGATGAAGCCTCGAGGACCCGGAGCCCACAGGGAGCTGGTGAGTAAGAAAAGGGGTCTTACTCACACGGGGGGAGTTGGAGCAGTCTGTGGCAGGAACAGTGGATCGGGGCCTGAAGGAGAGGGGCCGTAACTCGGTTCCCCTATCCCCTCGCTCCCAGACCTGAAAGAAGAGGAAGGGGAGGCCTATGAGGAGCCGGACAGTGAGGAGGTCTCTGAGTTCTATGAGAACGACGACGCCAACAACCTAGCGCAGGACCAACTCTCCCAGGGTAAGGCTGCCCTCTTGCTTCCCTGCACCTCCTCAGCGGCGGGCTGTGGACCCTCGCTGAACTCCCCTCCTTCTTCATCAGATGGCAGCGGCTATGAGAACCCTGAGGACGGGGACTTAGGTTCTGAGGACAGGACTTTGGGTCCTGAGGATGAGGACTCCTTCTCTAGCGGTAATTTGGGGACCTCACAGGGCCTCGGAGACTTGGGAAGACCCCCCGCGCCCCAGGGCCTTGGAGCCCCTAGCGGGCAGGAGTGGTCCCTGGACTTCTCTCTTTTTTTACATCAGCTGAATCTTATGAGAATGAGGATGAAGCGCTGGCCTCTCCAGTCCCCCGGGCAGTAGGTGTGTGTGAGGATGGTCACATTCTTGGGGGAGCGGGGACTGGAAGCCAGCAGGAATGGTGACTTTCGGCTTCCTTTCCTAGACTTCCTGAGTCCCCATGGGACTGCTTGGGACCCCAGCCGGGAGGCAACCTCTCTTGGTGAGAAATGCTTGGAACTGCCTACCTTGCCCAGCTGGGGCTGACCTGGCCTGTCAGCTGCAACCCCAAACACAACCTTGATGTTGACTCTGACCTCAGACCCAAGTCCAACCCTGATCTTAGATTTGATTTCTATGTCTAACCTCAACCCCAATCCTGACCCCCAGTATTTACCCAAACCCTAACCATGAACATCAACACTGATCCCAATCCAATTCCATCCCTGTCTTTGACCTCCACCTCATGCCATCTCAAATGCAGACCTCAGCTTTCACTCCCGCTCTCTTTACAACCTCCTCATGACTCTGATTTTGATCCCTTTCGATTCTGTTCTTGACCGTTTCCTTACGACTATGACCTTAATCTAACCCATACCTGACCCTTACCCTACAACTGACTAGGGCCCTGAACCTGATGCTAATCTTAATGACTCCTTTCTAGTACAGCACGGATCAAGACTCCCACCTTCATCCACCCCTCAAGTATCCCTCCTTACCTGAGGCTGCACTTTTCCTCTCCATGCCCCCACCCCGCATGGCTCCTGGGCCTCCAATTCTCCATTTCCTGCCCAAGCAGGGTCCCAGTCCTATGAAGATATGAGAGGGATCCTGTATGCAGCCCCCCAGCTCCGCTCCCTTCGGCCTCAGCCTGGTGCCAATCATGAGGAAGGTGGGTGCTTCTGCCGCTGCCCCTTGTGTGTCCTCTGGGGTTGTCTTCCCCTCCCAGACTACTGCCAGCCCTCCCTCTGTTTCATTCCTTCCTGGTCCTATCCAGATGCAGACTCCTATGAGAACATGGATAATCCTGATGGGCCAGAACCAGCATGGGGAGGAGGTGGCCACATGGGGACCTGGAGCACCAGGTGACCCCCTCCAGGTGAGCTGGGAACTGCCCTCTAAGGAAGGGAGAGAAGGAGGGAGATGAGCAGGGATAGAGGTAGGGTGCTGTCTCTCAGGGAGGGAGAGGTGAAGGGGCTCCTGGGGCCTGGTGGGTAGAGGGAGGGCTCCTGGACCCTACCCCGTCACCATTTCTTCTATATAGCTTGGGCCTCCTCAGGCCCGAGATCCACATCTGACTGAAATCTGGGAACCCCAAGGAGATGGTATCAACCTCTGGAGCGACGCTGCTCAGAATGTATGTGTGAGTGAGTGTGTGTGTGTGTGTGTGTGTGCGCGCGCGTGTGTGCGCTCAGGTGAAACTTCTGGCCCCCTTCCCTCTCCCCAAATAAACTTAGTGAGTTCTTCCAATCCTATGAAGTAGTGTGCCTGTGTGGGAGGGGAAGGAAAGGTGAGGGTGGGTGCATCCCCATCCCCTCTCAACTCCAGTGGATACAACCCATTTCCCCTCTCGACATCCTGGATACAACCCATTTCCCCCTCTTGCCCACCATCTACCAGATTCCTTAGCATCTGCCACGATCCTACCATCCAGTCATTCAAGCATTGTTCATTCAGCAGTTGTGTTCTGGGGATTTAGTGAAGAAGAAGCAATCCAGGAATTGACATTCTAGTTTGGAAACATCATCCATCATCACTGACATTTATTTAGGACCTTATTGAGCACCTACTGTATTCTAGAGGCCCTGGTGGTGCAGTGATTAAGCGTTCGGCTGCTAACCAAAATGTTGGCAGTTCAAATCCACCAGCCGCTCCTTGGAAACCCAATGAGGCAGTTCTACTCTGTCCTGTAGGGTCGCTATGAGTTGGAATCGACTTGACAGCAACGGAACTATATTCTAAGCACATCAATAAACTCATTTAATGCTTACAATAACCTCACAAGGTTATTGAGCATTTATTATGTGCCAGGGTTGTTCAAAGTACTTTATGTGTAGTAACTCATTTTATCTTCACAAACAACTCTATGAGGTAAGTCTATTATTCTCATTTCATACCTTAGGAGACTGAGGCAGAGAAGATAAATAACAAGGTTTGCCTAGTTAATAAGTGGCAAGATCAGGAGAACTTGAACTCAGAGCCTATACTGCTTAGTCTATACTAAATCTGAGCTGGTTCCAGAGCCCTATGCTAAATCCTGACACTCTCCTTCCCTAGGTGCAATTTTATAGATGAGAACCAGAGAGAGGCTAAGTAACATGTATAAGGTCACACAACTAGCAATAGGCAGAGTTGGGATGTGAATCCGGAAATCTGGCTGCAGCTGTAGCCACTGAGCATTACTACCTGATACAAACTCTGCCTACTCCTGATGTAAACCATGAACACAACGATTCTCAGAGATAAGGTCCTTCTGTCCCTGAAGCTATTGTATAGCAAGCTCCAACACAGCTCAATTCTTGTCTTAGGCGAAGGTGGAATTAAATCAGTTCCTGGTATTCCTAATGTCTTCTGCCTGGTCTCCCTGTCGCTAGTCTTCCTAGCAACAATAGCTTTCTGAAACCCAGGACTGACAGGTCCCTCTCCTGCCCAGTAAATTTCAGTACTCTTGTAAGACTGACTAAAAAATTTCAATGTCTACATTTTTGTTTCTAGAATTTCCTTTTGTTAATGCACCAGTTCTTTCTTCCTAATGTCCTGTTTTTGTTCTATAGATTCTATTTCTTTATCTCTGAACTTTTAAAATTTATTCTATCTGTACTTTGATTATCCTGTGCCAGGCAGTGTTCTAAGTGCTTTGCAGGCAGTACCTCACTTTATCTTTACAAAAATCCTATAAGGTAGGTACACTAGAATTATCATCTTATGATAATGAGCCGACTGAGGCATAGAGAAGTTAAATATTTACTTCAATTGCTGTGTGACCTTCGGCAAGTTATTTAACCTCTCTGATGCTCAATTTTCCCTCTCCAAAGAGCATTAGGGAGAAGGTATGGTGCGATTACTATTGTCTGTGTAACTACTGTTGTGGGTGAATTCTCCCATGGCGGTGGGTGGCACCATGGAAGGTTTCTTTGACTTCATTGTGTTTCTTTTCTGTGAGTGAGTCAGCCTGTGGGAGTTCTGTGAGTTCTCTGGGCCCCACTGACACCTCCTGGGGCCAGCTTGCTTTGGCTTCTACCACGACCTTATAGGCTACACAGGTTTCTGACCAATTTATTCATGAGTTTCTCAGAGTAGAGTTTTACACCAGAGGTTTGGTCTAAATCTAGGCCTTTGGTGAGTCTTGGGATTCTGATATCTCAGAGTGGAAACACACTGCCTATTGGGTGGCCTGCTTCCATACCACATCTCAGGGACTGTGGAGAGATTTTTGTCCTTGTTCTTTTGTGCCCAGATGAGACAGCCCTTTGTTAGCTCCCAGCTTTGTGCAGGGAGCTCAGTTTCAGCTCCCTGCTGTTCCTAGGGCCTTAGTCATGACCTCTGTCCCCAGAAAGGTGTTAAAATTCCAACTCTAGGGTATATCTAATCCCAGCATCCCCGTGGGCTGCTTGACTTCAGCCCCCTCTCATTGCATGGCTTTGATTTCCTTCTTTATTTCTGGCACCAAGAGGAGTCTGTCTGGCTTTTGAGCTCTGTTATCTATTAAAAACAAAAACAAAACAAACACCCTACCTCCCCCCTCAAAAACAAACAAACCCTCGTTTACATCTTGCTTAATGTATCTATGTTGTTTGGAGTGTGGGAGGTGGGATATGAACCTCCAGCATTTTCTTGGGCTTCCACCTTGAGCACAAATCCCCTGGGCATAAATAAATAAATATAAATAAATTCTAGGTCTGGCTTAGCATTCAAGACCCACTGCTGTCTTACCCCCATCTTACCTTTCAGACAAAATAAGCTCTCTACTTTGCCATAATTCTCACCATTCCCTTTTACCTTTTACCTGGCCTGCTACATTCATTTAAGTTTCCTGCCTGGGGCTGAAGCATTGAACATTTTACCTGTTTGAAGATGAATCCTTGTCTGAATCTTCTCTGTGCCACTGGTGCCCAGTCAGGGGATGGCAAAGATTAGGAGCTCAGAAAGTGTGGGAGGTGTGAATGAAGAATTGTGGAAAGTACTGAGATGGGTGCTTCAGGCATTCACATGGATGGAGACACTGCTGTGGGCTCTGCCATCCAGGGAAGTCTCAGAAGTTGAGGTTGGAACAGAAGTGTGCTAACGCCAGCCCAGTGCTCTGGAATCAGACTATCTGGGTTTGAATCCCAGCTCCACCCCTTTTTCAGCAGCTCCACGGGAGAAAGATCTGGCGATCTTAAAGATTATAGCCTAGAAAACCCTATGGGACAGTTCAGCTCTGTCACATGGGGTCACTATGAGTCAAAATTGACACGATGGCACTATCAAAAATAAATAACTCAGGGCTAGCATTAATCCAAAAGCCATGAAATAGTAAATGGTGGAGAGGTTGTGGAGAGACTGGAACACTTATACACTGTCGGTAGGAATGTAAAATGGTACAACTACTTTGGAAATCGGTTTGGCACTTCTTTAAAAAGCTAGAAATAGAAATACCATACGATCCAGAAATCCCACTTTTTGGAATATATCCTAGAGAAGTAAGAGCCGTCACACGAATTAGATATATGCACACCTGTCTTAGGCTGGGTTCTCTAGAGAAGCAAAACCAGTAAAGTGTAAAAAAAATATATGTATATAGAGAGATTATATGAAGGAAACAGCTCACGTGATTGTAGAGGCTAGAACGTCCCAAGTCCGTGGATCAGGGTAGAGGCCTCTCCCAAGTCACACAGCTGCAGAAGCTGGCAAGCCCAAGATCTGCAGGTCGGAGAGAAGGGCTCCCGCTCACAGGCTGTGCAAGTCAATGAATCCCACATTCGGCAGATAAGCTGACAGCTCAAGTCCCAAGAAAGGAAGATGAGACAACAGGAAGCAGCCGCAGGATCCAGAGAGAGCAAAAAGCCAGAATGTCTGCTTATATACAGATGTGGGCCACACCCCCAAGGAGACTCCCTTTCATCTGATTGGCTACTCACATTATATTCAATCATGGGAGTGATTACATTAAAACACTGAGAATCATGGTCCAGCCAAGTTGACACACAATCTTAACCATCACAACACCCATGTTCATTGCAGCAGTGTTCACAATAGCAAAAAGATGGGAACAACCTACATGCCCATCAACAGATGAACGGATAAACAAAAATTATGGTATATTCATACAGTGGGATACTATGCAATGATGAAGAACAACGATGAAGCTGTGAAACATAACTTGGAGGAATCTGGAGGGCATTATGCTGAGTGAATTTAGTCAGTCACAGGACAGATATTGTATAAGACCACTATTATGAGAACTCAAGAAAAGGTTTAAACACAGAAAAAAACATTCTTTGATGGTTACGAGGGTGGGGAGGGAGGGTGAGGGTTATTCACTAACTAGATAGTAGACAAGAATTATCTTAGGTGAAGGGAAGGACAGCACACACTACAGGGGAAGTCAGCACAACTGTACTAAACCAAAGCTAAGAAGTTTCCTGAATACAACCAAACACTTCGAAGGACAGAGTAGCAGAGGTGGGGGTATGGGGACCACGCTTTCAGAAGACATCTATGTCAATTGGCCTAACAAAGTTTATTAAGAAAATGTTCTGCATCCTGCTTTGGTGAGTGGCGTCTGGGGTCTTAAAAGCTTGCAAGTGGCCATCTAAGATGCATCAATTGGTCCCAACCACCTGGAGTAAAGGAGAATGAAGAACACCAAAGACACAAGGAAAGTAGTAGCCCAAGAGACAGAAAGGGCCACATAAACCAGAGACTGCATCAGCCTGAGACCAGAAGAACTAGATGGTGCCCAGCTACCACCAATGACTGCACTGACAGGGAACACAACAGACAGTCCCTGATGGAGCAGGAGAAAAGTGGTGTACAGAACTCAAATTCTAGTAAAAAGACCACACTTAATGGTCTGACTGAGACTGGAGGAACCCCAGAAAGCATGGCCCCCAGACTCTCTGTTAACCCAGAACTAAAACAATTTCCAAGGCCAACTCTTCAGACAAAGATTTAACTGGACTGTGGGACATAAAACGATGTTAGAGTGTGCTTCTTAGCTCAAGTAGATACATGAGACTAAACGGGCAGCTTCTGTCTGGAGGTGAGATGAGAAAGCAGAGAGGGTTAGGACCTGGTTGAATGGACATGGGAAATCAGGGGTGGAAAGGAGGAGTGTGCTGTCGCAGTATAGGGACAACAATAAGGGTCACATAACAATGTATGTATAAATTTTTGTATAAGAGACTAACTTGAAATGTAAACTTTCACTTAAACTACAAAAATAAACAACCAAAAAAAAAAAAAAATAACTCAGAACACCATTACCAGACTGCCATGCAGGTTTAATAGACAATTTGCACATCATCACCAAATAAATTAGTGCATCGATTAGGATTTTTAAAGTGCTTACATACAATTTTATCAGGAACCTTGAACAAAATTTGACATTTACATTAAAAAACAGCATATGTTCACATATTATTAAAGTTTAGATAAAAACTTTGCTGAACAATTGCAAGACAATCACAAAATCAGTGAGTCATGGTTAAAAGACCCCTGAAGTTTTGAAAACAGGATATGTTTGTTCATTAATTTTGATTGTTTTCTGAAAGAATAAGTTTCATGTTAATGAATAATGAAACCAGCCGCTTTGGTTTCAGTGAGCTTGGTCACCTAGAAACAATTATGCTAAATAAAACAAGCTACTTGTAAAGGTTATAGTTTAAAGCATAGCTAGGATATTTATTTGTTACAGTGCATAGATTTCTAGCAACGTTTAACAAGATGACTTTCAGTGTCCTGGGTAAGGGAATTTTTTCTGTTTTCATAATGCAAAACTTGTAATTTTGTTTTATAGCAACTAAAAAAGCGCATAACAGTGGCACACAGTAAGCACTCAATAAATATTAGCCATTATTATTATTTGGTATTTATTAAGGGTCTCTCGTGTGCCAGGAGTCCTGGTGGCGCAGTGGTTAAGAGCTTGGCTGCTCACCACAAGGCTGGTAGTTTGAATCCACTAGCTGCTCCTTGGGAACCCTCTGTGGCAGTTCTACTCTGTCCTGTAGGGTCTCTATGAATCAGAATCGACTCCACAGCAATGGGTTTGGTTTTTTTGTACCAAGAGCCAGGAGCACCAAGGCCATTTGGATTGGGGCTTCCTCCAGCAGGGAGGAAGCCGTTCTCCAAAGCTGCTCAACTTCCTGTCCCATAATTTATTTTTTTGTCAGGGGCTGAACCAGAGCAAGGCCTAGAAAGAAAACAGGCAGGAGGGAAGCTTCAGATCCTCGGGGACACCTCCTGCTTCCCTAGCTTGCAGGGGCCTCCCAGGTGTTACAAAGAGTGGCTGAATATTCCCTGGGGCTGGGAAGTCCTTGGAGTCCCCTCTGTCAGCCCAGGAGTCTCTGTTCCCTGGGAAAAAGCCCCACCTGCTGGGGGTTTGCGCCATTATTCTTGACCTGGACTGAGTCTGCATGGATTATCTAAGGTGTAGGTTGACTGAGTTGGGGTGTATGGAATGGGATGTGAGTGCTGTTGGAGATAATGTTCTGGATGGCTGTATGAGGTATGCGAACACTGTGTATGTGAGAGGCTCGTGGCATTGGGTGTATGCTGTGTGGGTATGGTGTAAGGTTTATGCTGTTGGAGGGAATATGTTGTTCTGTGCCGTTGAGTTGATTCTAGCTCATAGCGACCCTATAGGACAGAGTAGAACTGCCCCAGAGGGTTTCCAATGAGCGGCGGTGGATTCAAACCGCGGATCTTTTGGTTAGCAGCCTGAGCTCTTAACCACTTCGCCACCAGGGCTCCTGGAGGTAATATGGGAGGTGTGAAGTGGTGAAGGGAAATGTGTGTGTTGTGTTGGCATGTATGTTATGCACAAGTTGCGAATACGGTACATATGTGGAGGATGTGGAGTCTCTGAGGTGCTTGATGCTGTTTATGTTCAGGTGTGTATGTTCTGTTGACATAGTGCACCAAATGTGTGAGGAATGTCTGGTGCAAGGCGAGGGGCTCTATGCTGGTGAAGGTAACTGGAAGTGTTGAAGAGTGTTTGCCTGGGATGTGTTGTGTGGACTCTGCAAATGAGGTGAGGAATATGGGAGAGTGTGTGACGTTGAGTGAATAACTCATGCCCACAATGCGGTTGTGGCGGACAGTAAACGGGCTATCGGAAAGATCTCAGGCCTCTTCCGCGGTTCCTAAAACCAATTCTCAACGTGCCTTCCTTCACGGTGTTGTCTTAGGGCTTGAGGACTACAATTCCCAGAATGCCAAGCTCCTCCAGAAAAACGGATCTCTTCAGTGGCGGGGTCTGGGGAAGGCTTGTCCGGAAGAGAAGAAGTGCTGCCAATGGGTGAGCAGAGTCGAATCGAAACCTACGCTGATTGCACGGAGTGTGATTGGATTCTTTAGCGCCTTAGTTTAGTGGTGGGTGCGTGATGGGCGAGGGCAGTGACCAGTGAAAAGGCGAGAAGCTGATCCAGAGGGTGTGGGCGGGGCGAGGTGCTGACCAGCAGGCCGTTCGTCCAATGAAGAGCGGAAGTCGCTAGAGGAGGCCGGGCGAGACGAGTAGAGGCCGGCATCTGTGGGTGTGGACTGTGCTATGGCGGAACCCGTGAGGAAACGGGGTCGGGCGTCCCGAGGCGGCGGTGTAGGCCGAAGGGCTCGAGGGGCTCGACGGACCCGGGGTGGCCGAGGCCGGGGTCATCACGCCCAGCGGTCTCCAGCCCGACGCACCCTGGACTCCGTGTTTGTGGATTTGATCAGCGATAGCGATGAGGATATCCTGGAGGTCGCAACAGCGCGCGGCGCTGCGGATACGGCTGAAGCCCCGCTGCCGGAGGCCCCCGTGCCAGCCGCGTCCCGGGACGACAGCGACAGTGACAGCGAAGGGGCGGACGCGCGACCCGAAGGAGCCCCGCGGATCGCGGTCAGGCGGCGGCGGCGGCTGCTGCTGGATCCCGGGGAGGCACCGGTGGTTCCAGTGTACTCCGAGAAGGTGCAGCCAAGTCCCCAGGGAGGGCTAGCGTAGAAAGGCCACGAGGCTGGGCAACTAAGAGGGGCCGGGGTTCGGGGAGGGGCTGACTATAGGAAGTGCTGAGGTTAGGGTTCAGGGGTTGGTCTTGCGGGACCAAACGGAAGCCAGGGTCTGGGGTCTTGGGCAGAGAAATGCAGGAATTCTGAGAAGATGAAGGAGTTTGGGGCGTGTTGGGAGTTTGGGATTCCTGGAAGCTGGAGTCCTGGGGACACAGAAAAGCTAGAGTGCTTGGATCCCTGGGGGTTCAGGGAGGGGCCAGGAAGATCTGGGACAGGTATTTGGGACATGCTGGAGTTTGAGTTAGGTGGTTGGGGTATTGGGGACGAGAGAGACTTGAGGGCTGGGGTCCCCAGTTAGTAGGGTGAGATAGGGGCTGGGCTTCCCTAGGAATCTAAGGTACGAGGGGTGGCTAGCAACTTAGTACAAAAAGAACCAAGCCTGCATCTTAACAGTGCCTTAGAGAAAGAGGGGGCGTAGCTTGAGAGTACTACACTTCTGGAATTTGGGGAAGCCTGACAGGTCCCCGGGAGAGGGCTGTGGCGTCTGCATCCTTAGGGAGGACTTAGGAGCTGGAGGAGGCCTGTGTGTGGGAAGGAATCACCCCTCCTCTTCCCTTTCAGTGGAGGGAGGACTTCGGGCTGACCCTCCTGCTCTTCTTGGTCTTTGCAGGTGAAAAGCAGCCTCCACTTCATCCCAGATCACCTGCCCCTCCTGAAACTCTGCCCTCCAGGGGCTGAGGAAGGTAAGGGAGGGCTTCAGGGAGAGGAGCCAGTGCTAGCCCCTCTGGGAACACTTCCTGGAGTCCACATCCCTGCAGTTATTTTTCTCAGGGAGGCTCAGGGAAAGAGGTTGGGAGAGGTGACTCCTGCATCCCAGGTAGAGAAAGGCTTCAGAAAGCTCTAGAAAGGCTGGGGTATTAATCAGAAGGCATAGGAGTAGATTTAGGAAGTTGTGTCAAACCACCCTCCCCCCAACTCTAACAAGCGTGTTAATATACAGATTTCCAGGCCTCACTTCCAGAGATTCCAATTCTGTAATACTGGTGTGGGTAGGGGTGGAGGGGGAGGTGTGAGAATCTGTAACGTCTTGTTACTTCTGCAGCAAGTTCCTTGGGAACACTCTGGAGCCAGCAGGTGGAGGTGCAGTGGGTAGGGGAAGTGTGGGAATTTGTAACATCTTGTTACATCTGCAGCGGGTTCCTTGGGAACACTCTGGAGCCAGCAAGCAGGTGGAGGTGTGGTGGATGGGGAAGTGTGGCAGTCTGTAACATCTTGTTAACATCTGCAACAAGTTCCTTGGGAACAATCTGGAGTCAGCAGGGTGTTCTTTGAATTTTATCAGAGCTTCCTAGCCTTTGTCCTCTGGGAGTATGATTTTTGCAAATCACCCAAAGGGAGTAAATGAGAATTCATTCTAATGAAA